CTCCTGAGTAGCTAGGATGACAGGTGTGAGCCACCAGCGCCCGGCCACTTGAATTTTTTGTAAAGGTTTTTAAAACAAAACGCTGGCCTGGCCTAGGGCTCTGTTGCTTTTGTTGTGAAAGGCAGAGGAAGGAGCTTCGGTGTGTGTGATGGGCAGCCATCCTGGAAACGGGGGCCGGGAGCAAGGCCTGCAGAGGCAAAGAGCCCTAGTCACAGGCCTGTTACAGGCCTGTTCCTGTGGGTCACTATACCAGTCCTTGTGTTGGGAGGGCTTGATTTTAGAAGTGGTTTATGTGCTAAGAATGACCACCCAATTGTGTAGTTCAACATAGGGTCTGGTGACTACCACTGCTGGAACTTTCAGAGTGCATTGTTTGTTGGTGTACAAGGGGGAGGTTCGAGTGTATAATGTATCCAATCAGCCTCACGCCCTATCACGGTCGTCCCTTAAACACATCCCACTGGGTTTAGCTGTTCTGCTTTCCACACATGCAGACTACTTCAGCCATGCTCACTTCCTCATTTGCCATCGTGCCAGCCCTCCCAACCCCTTCCCACGAGTGCCCCTCCACAGAGCCCGTCTTACTTTGCTGTCCTTCATTGTTTATAGTAATTGCACTGAGGTTTTATCATGGAATTTCAGATGTTGATATATTCTCTTTTGGGGGGGGGAGGGTCTGGTCGTGGGGCCTGAACTCTGGGCCTGGGCGCTGTCCCTCAGCTCTTCAGCTCAAGGCTAGTGCTCTACCACTTGAGCCACAGCACCACTTCCGTCTTTTTTCTTTTTGCTTATATGGTGCTGGGGAATGGAACCCAGGGCCTCATGCATGCAAGGCAAGTGCTCTACCACTGAGCCACCTTCCCAGCCCAATATATTATCTTTTGCTCTGAATAACTCTGTTCTCGCCTGCCAGGCCCCTGTTGATCAATAGCTTTCATAGATTCTTTATGCCATTGTTAATCTTTCTATTTTGGCCAAATGCCATTTTATATCATAGCCATGTGAGGGTATCACCTGTTCATAATAAACAGGCAAGGAAAAGAAGAGGAAGGAAAGTGGTTCATGTGAGGATGCAGGCACCCCTTGTTAATCGTGGAGAGGGGTGATGGGCCCAAGCTAGGACGGGCCTTTGGTGGGGACAGGTTTGTGGATACTTTGTGAGGAGGGTTGACAAGGTTTGGTAGAGGGTGAGGCTGAAGGAAGGGTCAGGACTGACTTGGTGGGTTGTGGGGGCAGTCCCGGGCAGAGCCAGGGCTCTGGAATTGAGTTTGTCTCCCCTGTACAAGCAGAGCCATCACAAAGGCAGCTCAGGAGTGCAGGAAGAGCTAAGCCTTCCTTTGGGCATGAATATCGTAGGTGGTTTACAGTCCAGGACCTGGAAGAGCATCTTGAGACAGGTAGAGTGAGGGGTGGGAGGTGGCCAGAGGCTGAGCATTGAGGAGCCCAGCATGTGTGGGGCTTGCAGGAGTTCCGAGAGGACAAGCAGGCTGCGAAGGGAGAACACGGGAGGAATGTGTGGGATCACGGGAGTCGAGGGTCGAGAACACGGGAGGAGCGTGTGATCATGGAAGTCGAGGGATGAGAACACGGGAGGAATGTGTGGGATCATGGGAGTCGAGGGATGAGAACACGGGAGGAATGTGTGGGATCACGGGAGTCGAGGGACGAGAACACGGGAGGAATGTGTGGGATCACGGGAGTCGAGGGACGAGAACACGGGAGGAGCGTGTGGGATCATGGGAGTCGAGGGATGAGAACACGGGAGGAATGTGTGGGATCACGGGAGTCGAGGGACGAGAACACGGGAGGAGCGTGTGGGATCACGGGAGTCGAGGGACGAGAACACGGGAGGAATGTGTGGGATCATGGGAGTCGAGGGATGAGAACACGGGAGGAATGTGTGGGATCATGGGAGTCGAGGGATGAGAACACGGGAGGAGCGTGTGGGATCACGGGAGTCGAGGGACGAGAACACGGGAGGAGCGTGGGTGGGATCATGGGAGTCGAGGGACGAGAACACGGGAGGAGTGTGGTTGGGATCACGGGAGTCGAGGGATGAGAACACGGGAGGAGCGTGTGGGATCACGGGAGTCGAGGGACGAGAACACGGGAGGAGCGTGGGTGGGATCACGGGAGTCGAGGGACGAGAACACGGGAGGAGCGTGTGGGATCACGGGAGTCGAGGGTCGAGAACACGGGAGGAGCGTGTGATCATGGGAGTCGAGGGACGAGAACACGGGAGGAATGTGTGGGATCATGGGAGTCGAGGGACGAGAACACGGGAGGAGCGTGTGGGATCACGGGAGTCGAGGGACGAGAACACGGGAGGAGCGTGGGTGGGATCATGGGCAGGGACAGCTAGCTGTTCTGAAGCTGCCAGATGAAGAGAACAGGAATGTGCCTTGGGAGTTGGCGCTGGGGACCATGTTCCCATATGGTTGACTCAGGAGCCAGAGGGGTCCACAGCTCTCCTGAGAAGCTGCCATGGGGGTGCCCAGGTCAGCACACACTGCCAAAGAAGAAGGATATGTCCAGAAGCAGGTATTCTGTCCTGCGTGCATGGAGAATGGTGACGGGAGTAGAGGCCTGTGTCGTGGGAAGGGGAGGTCCCATTCTGGTGAAGGCGGCCAGGTTGGTACCTCAGGCGTTTGGACAAAGAAAGCATGAATGTTTGCAGGAGGAAGGCAAGGTCTAAGGGAGTGTGGAGAGTGGGAAATTTGTACGTAGGATTTCCCGAGAGAATGAGGACCCATGAGAGATTGGGCATCACGAATTTCTAAAGCAAAACTAGTTAAGCCAGCACTTAGCTGTTTCAAACAAGAGGATGGTAAGAGTCATTTAGAACTAGGTACTGGGGATTCACGCCTGTAATCCTAACTGCTCAGGAGGCTGAGATTTGAGGATCATGTTTCGGGCAGGAAAGTCTGAGACATCTCCAATGAACAAAGAGCTGCAAGAGAGTGGTAGAGCACTAGCCTTGAGCACGAAAGGTCAGGGCCAAGCCATGGGCTTGGCACCATAAGACTCATGCATAGTTCAGTTTCACCAGTAAGGATAGTGGACAGAGATGAGCCCCCCCCCCCAACCTGAGCTGGATCGGGGTCTGGAGCCAGGAGATGCTGAGGGACAGCGCTTGGGGGGCGGCGTCTTTCCCTTCCCTCTCCCCGCGTGGGGAGCTCCTGTGGCCACAAAGCTGCTCCTGCCTTGTCACTTCCACCCCTGGGTTCTTAGTTTGAAGATGAGCTGCCAGGTTGGTCTAACTCTGGACAGTGTTCTTTATTTCAGGAAATCTGTGCAACACCCCGACTGTTTCCAGATCGCCCAGGGGAAGGCCGGGTGAAGCAAGGGCTGCTGGGGGACTGCTGGTTCCTGTGTGCCTGTGCGGCCTTACAGAAGAGCCGGCACCTCCTGGACCAGGTACGGCCGGAGGCCTCCCTCCGCGGCCCCCTGCCTGCGGAGCTCAGGGGGCTCTTGCCAGAGCAGAGCCCCGTGGGAGCCAGCCGCTGGCTGACCTCCCGACCTGCGCTCTGTCGCAAGCAGCTGGAGGGGTGTAGGAGCAGGACCAAGCCTGCAGGTCCCCTGGGAGGCTCTGCCCGGCTCTGAGAACTTCCAGGTCCTGGATTTTGGTGCTGGGCACATAGCACAGGGTTGGCAGAGGGCTTCCGTGTGGCCACTTTAGAGTATGTGACCTCAGAGAGTTAAGATTTTTTTTACCGTGGAGAGGCCTTCGTGGTGTCTTCCCTCAGGGCACGGGCTGCGTTGGGGCCCACGTGCTGCCGAGGCCTTTCAGTGCACGGCCCTGGGGCAGGGGCCGGAGCACAGCATGCCTCCGCAGCCTCACACCCCTCCCATTGCACCTGCTTTCGCGCACCGGTGCCTGTGTCTCTCGCTGTCCTGAGAGGAGGCCGCCCTGACTTCCTAGGTGCCGAGCCCATACTCACCTGTTGTGGGGACTGGAGCCCCGAAGGAACGAGCAGTGGGCACAGTGGGCCTGGTGGCTGGCCAGCCCTAATCTGTCGCCTGTGTGCAGCCAGAACTGGGTCGCTTTTGCCTGCCAAAGTTGCGCTTTAGATTTAGGTCGAGTGCTTATTTGGGACATGGTTAACAAAGTGGTTGATTTGAAGCTTTGGGGAGTTTGGGTCCTGCAGGGCAGTCCTGAGCTATTTCAGTGGAGAGCATGGCTGTCTCTTCTGTGACGTGGATGTGTAGATGCGGTGCCCAGCGGAACCCGTGCCCTCGGCAGGCAGGGTGTTGGGAGTGCGGGTGATGCCTGTCTTCTGCTCTGAGGAGTGGGGGATGCCCGCCTCTCATGCTCTCCTTCTGCCCCTCCTTGTGCATGCTAGGTCTTCCCTCCGGGACAGCCGAGCTGGTCCGACCAGACGTACCGTGGCCTCTTCGCCTGTCGAATCTGGCGGTTTGGATGCTGGCAGGAGGTGACGGTAGATGACCGTCTGCCTTGTCTTGCAGGGAGACTCTGCTTCTCCCGGTGCCAGAGAGAGGATGTGTTCTGGCTTCCCTTACTGGAAAAGGCCTATGCCAAGTAAGTGTGCTCTGCAGAGGTGACGGGGTGGACGGGGCGGCCCTGGTGCTGCTCGGGGGCCTGGGACACCTGCCCGGGCTGCTGGCCGGCCCGGTGTTGCCAATACACGGGGCCTGGCAGCCAGACTGTGGGTCTGCGAGGACCTGTGGTTTGCTCTTTCCTGTCCCTTTTTTCACAGTCCTACAGTCACTGCCTCTGCATGGAGAGGGCGGGCAGGTCCGCCCTCCCCAGACCCTGCAGAACAACGCCAGGCAGGCTGGCTGCGGGTGGGGGAGGAGTGAGCCCATGTGTGTGCCATCACGTGCTTGGCTTGTCCTGCTCGTGAGGGCCAGCTAACACAGCCAACGGGAAAATGAGAAAATGGGCCCGTCACCTTGAGCCTTGCCCACCCTGGCAGGACGGTGTGAACGTGGGTGGAGACCAGCAGGACGGTGTGAACGTGGGTGGAGACCAGCAGGACGGTGTGAACGTGGGTGGAGACCAGCAGG